AATAATTTTCACTTAATCTTCATTGTGTTATCGTATAACAGTCTGTATTTATTCCTATTAAATTAGATATGTTATTGAAAGTGAGCGCAATTTTCAAAATGGAAATCCAAATTTTAATTAATCTATCATTGACTCCTCCCCTTATTATAGCATCACTCCATCTTTCTCTGTATTTCGACCTCTTCAGGTATATTCCTGCCTTCCGAAATATGTTCTCCTCCCATTCCATTAAAATTTTTCGAAATTCTAATTTTTGACTCTTCGGCCACTGTAAACACCATCAAACTTCTATTTTATAAAATGCATATATAGCGCTTTTCTAATTTTTTTCAATTTCAAAAATTTAATCACGAAATCCTCTATTTCTCCAATCAATATTTTTCATTCAGAATCCAAAATCAATTTCTTCAACTATTTGTAATTTAATAATTAATTTTTGAATCACATTTTGTCTTACGACGAGTTTAAGAATAACTTATTTCTAAAGGACAAGTTTAATAACCTTAAAATCTAAAAGTAAATAATTTCAATCGAATTTTTCTATTCAAACACCTACCTCTTATATATATCCGATAATCGAAATCAATATAACCGGTATATATATATAAAATTAGATTAAATCTCTTATCAAAACTTAACATTAATGATTCTTTTTTAAAAAAAAATTAATAAGAAAAAAAAATATTATAAATTTTGCATTATCATAAAATTGAAAATCTATTAAAATCAGTGATCCTTACAAAATATTGAAATTTATATCCCGAAAATGGATAAAATGAAATGACCTTATTTTGTATTCAATTCGCAGAATTTATTTTACGAATTTTTGGTTCTCTCTGTTCTATTACTATAATGCTACAGATTTACACAATTCGACGTATTAAAAGCTCAGTACTCCAAATTCTCGACACTATATAAATTGAAATAGAAAGGAAAACAAAGCTTATTCGAAGATGGAAAGCGGCGGTACGGTGTGAAGTGAAGTGTAAAGCTTTCAAACACGTTGAATAATGTAAATTGATAGATTCTCTTCTCTATAACAGTCTATAATGGATCACTTATTTTAGATTATTCTACCATTTTTACATTAACTAAAAAATGGCGAGATTTAACTTCTTATCAACTTCTATTACATTATTAACTAAAATTTGAAGAATAAAAAGCAAAATAAAAAAATATCAACGTGATAATCAAAAAATTTGAAATTAATTTTTGGTTTCTTTTATACTCTATTTTTTTATTTTCATAAGTTCTGTTGAAAGGAACACACAAATAATAAGGAAAAATAATAATACAAAAAGTCCTTTACATTATTATAAGGATTCATTAAAAATATAGAATAAAAACAATTCAAATAGAATCTATTCTATGAAAACACAAACTAAAAACAATTTTGGGTCACAATTGGAACAATGGGTATGAAAATTTCAAAAAATATCAAGAAAAAAATGTACTTACTAGTTTCACTCTGTGGGTCCGTTTACAAAACTTCAACAACTTTCAAATTTAAAATCTAAAATTTTTAAAGAACTAGATGTTAGAGAAAAGATTATTCTAGAACACGGTTTTAATAAACTCCCCCACCTTCTTCAAGGTTTGCCTCTTGAAAGTCCCGATATGACAAATTTTTTTGAAAAGAAGCAAGGCAAATTTCTAAAACATGCAAGCGCATATTTTTTTGTGTCATAAGAAATTAGAAGCAAATATCAGATTGTCGATTTGACCAGTGTGAAATCAATTGTTTTTGATAAAAATTTCATTTTTTTAGAATAAAATACCCTTAAATTTTGTTGCATCCACTTCTTTGATCCCTCATTTCTTCAAAAAGCTCTTTCGAGCTTCTATAAAAGCAAATATGTAACAACAATCATCCTCTTCTCTGTCACGCCATAACAAATTTTATCTACAATTTAATTAAAATTTTTTAGTTCCTCCTAAATATATGCAACAAAACATAATTTTCATTAGGGTTTAAAATACATTGGAAATGTGCTATTTTTCAAATCATAAGTTTTCAATTTTTGTTTTCTTACTAACAATCTAATTTTTTTCATCATGCAGAAATAAAATAACCTAAACTTATAAGAAAAATTCTGTTATACAACAAAAGCCTTTGAGTGTTTATAAAGCAATTTAAAAGGGAACCAAAACATAGAATAAAATTAAAACAACATTTAAGGAAAAATGTTAAAATAGTGAGGAAGTGTTATGGATGTGATAAATGAGAGTTAATCGAAATTCAACAAGTCACGTTGTTATCATTTATCCTGAGAAGTTTTTTTTTACTTTCCAATTTTTTTTTGCCTTCATCCTCTTATTGTTATTAATTTCATCTATTTTTTCTTTTATTATATAATTATTTCACTGGGTATATTCTACCATCATCCATCTTTACCATCAATATTATCATCATTAATAGAATCACACATAAGTTAAAATCATCATGAGTGACTTCTAGATTTTTATATTCTTAAGATTTATAGTTATGAATTTAATAATATTATAGGGTACAAGTGGTAGAAGGTAACGCAGTTACCTTCATAATATAGTCAGTTTAATTTAAGTGCTTTATTAATTGTAAATAAAAACAACAGTAACAATTTTGTATAGTAAGTTTTAAGAAAGAAGGATAAATTAATAAAAATAATGCTTATTACTTTCAAAGAGAATACAAATATTTTTGACATATAAAACATGTTTGATCCAATACTAGAAATTCAAAAACCCCAACTACAATGAAAATCCAAAATGATTGTATTAAAAACTTAATGTTCAGCGTTAATGAACTTCATTTTAGTTGTGAGTTTCAGTCACACAGTTTCCTAATCATTTTAATAAGATTTTACAAAAAATTTTTTTTATTCTACTTCGCACCTGGAAGAACCATAGGGCTAGTACATGATATTGTAGATATTATGTACTAGTTTCTTACGTCATTAGTAACTAGATCATTTACTAACTAGGTGACGAGTTTCACAACTTAAATGCATATAGATATCATCGTAAAGAGAAGTAAGTGACAGAACAAATTGTGTATAGTTTCGAGGTCTCTGGTCGCAAAACGACTTACTGATATTTGAGAATGCATTTTCAATTCTTTTAACTTGCGGACTATTGGCTTGGTGTCAACGTTGTTAGCTTAAATTTGCTGTCACATTTACTCTTAATATGGACAAACAGAATCGCAACTAAACAACTACAATTGTTTCGGACAAGAGAATTAAAAATTGCCACATAAATTCCTAGAATTTAATATATTCAATTAGCCAATGAGTTCATTTAATAAATTCAGAAAGTATTCAATTGCAAGTTTAGCAACTTTAGGCAAAAGTATCCGAAATTTAATTAAATTTATAATTTTAATACAAACTTATATTTACAATTTCTTAGAAAAATATTATTAAAAACAATTAAAATACTTAACAAAAATAAATTTTTATAAAAATTTTTTCAAAATTACTTAAAATTTTCATTTTAATTTGCAATTTTTATTAAAAAAAAAATAAAATTAAATTAAAAATAATTTTTTATGACATTTTACTTAAACAAAACATTATCATCTTATTTTATATTTTAAGTGAAATGTCTCAGGTGATAAGAAAAGCACTAAATATAGATTTTGAAAATTGATATTCATTAAATTTGATGTTTATTTTGACAAATTTCACTTAATCACATTTTGATTGACAAATAACATGACAGCGACAATTTAAAGATAATTTTATATCATTTATAAAAGGAAAAGATTATTATACTCGTACTTTGCTGCCATGTACTTACAATATAATAAAAAATATACTTTATTGTTATTGGCAGTGATTTTAAACTGATTTTTTTTAATAAAAATCCGCAATCAAAACAATTTTTTCATATTTCCATATTTTAAATTCAAAATTTAAATTAGTTACTGTCTGTCTGTCGTTCATAATTATAACATTCGATGAATAAAAATTCTTATAAAAAAAACTGAGGTTCAAAAGAGCAGTGAAAGTAATAATAAAAAAAATATATAAAGGAGAACAAAATAATTTATCAGATGGAATGAACAATTTGTCAGGTAAAGCAAGTTATTTGACAGATAAAGAAAATAACTAGAGAGACGAATGCTTTTTCGTGGCGATTTAATCAAAAAGAACAAGAAGAATGACACTTATTGAGAAACGACAAGTTTCAAAGAGAGTAAGTTTAGAGTTCGTATTTTCCATTGGCGACTAGCGCTCGAGTAAATCATAACGGTGGTAATATTCTGTGTGCTACAAATTTTATTATTCCCTTTTAAACTCATTGAGAGAAGAGATTCAAGAAAATTTATGATAGGAAAGAGAATACAAAATGAAGAATAGAAAATATTTCTCTCTCCTACAAAAAACCGTCTATTTTCCTATAATAAATTAAATATTGGAACAATAGGAACAAATATATTTAAAATATTCAGAATCACAATTGTTCTCTTATTGAACTCTTTACACACGAATATTTTAATTCATTTATTAACAATAAATTTTAAAAAAATAATCATTTTATATAAAAATATTTTTCAACTAAAATCGCAACTCTTTGGCGGGATAGAATTTTCTTAAATGTCTACACAAACTCTGTAAAAATTTCAATATCACACCAACTTACAAAAAAATTAAAACAAAAGAAAAGCATTAAAATCAATCAAAATACTTAAAAAAATGTTTTCTTATAAAACAAAAATAATATCCTTATATTTATAGACGTAAAATAAAATATTGTTATTCTTTTATTTTGTCCTTTTACATTATTTTCTTATTTGTCATAATGTTTACATAAATATTCGTAAGTTTGTATGTGTATGAGTGAATAAATCTTACTAAATTTTTATTCCTTCTTTTAATTCATAGTATTATTTTTGTTCTCTTCTCATTCCTTTGTATCCTTTCAGCTTCTATTTAAAGCCCTTGTTGTATACAATACTGCATTTATCCTATATATAAATAAATATATATATTTTATTTTCTTGTTTATATTTATAGGACTAATCGTTAATGGTTTTATAAATGTGGTAATAACAACAATAGAACGTCGTTATGGATTACGTTCAAGACAAACAGGTCTTGTAGCAAGTGGTTATGATATTGCATCATTTATATGCCTAGTACCGGTAACATATTTTGGTGGTAGATTGAATTCATCAAAACCACATTGGTTAGGATGGGGTGTTATATTAATGGGTATGGGATCATTAACATTTGCTTTACCACATTTTTTAGTTGGACAATATCGTGCTAGCTCAGCTGATATAAATGTTTGCTCAAGTAATAATGGAACCGTGCAGGTGAATATTTTATTAAGGATATTTTTTTTTTCTTTTCTATATTATTTTTGTTTTCTTTCATTTGTTATTATTTGTCCTTTTCTTGCTTTTAAAAAGAAAAAATAAAAGGAAAATAAATTTGCTTTGCTTTTTTTTTTCCATTATCCTTTTTATAAATGGAAAACATGAAAAGAAAGAAAAGTAAATTTGATTTTTTTTGTGGTTTGATTTTTTTTATTATTATTAAATTGTTTTTTAAGTTATTGAGAAATGAATATTTTTTGCAAAATATTTGAAACAAAATAAATAAACAAAGAAAACAAATAATTGTGAGAAGGTGCAAAAAAAATCCTGAATTAGAAATTTTGTTAGAAAGTATTTTTTTTCTTTGTTTTGGTCGGAGAAATTAATGGAGAAAAAGCGGGAAATTAATGGGTTTGTTACAGTTTGGGAAGAGGGAGTAATACATTAGGAAAAAAAAGTTTCGAAATGTTAAAAGTATTTTTGACTCAAACTTTTTTTTCTATGCAATTATTTCTTATTCTAAGCATTTTTGAAGTGACTCTCTCTTAATACAAATGTACAGCTGCGTTATCAAAGAATTCTTGATAATAGATGGCGTTTTAAAAATCTACATTTTTCTCATTTCAATCCATTTCTCATTTTAAATTATGAAATTTAAATTTCTCTCTTTCTTCGGTTTTTTTCTCTACTTTTGGGGAAATTACGGATAATGTCATACCACACGAGATAAATAAGCAAATTTTCAAAGCTCAATTAAATGAAAGTGAACAATGAATTCATCTTTCTCAGATCTGAATGCAAACGAATCTCAGTTTATTATAAACTTGAGAAATAAAGAGAAATATAAATATTAAAGCCGTCAATTCTAAATTCCACAATTAAATTTTTTTAAATAAAATTATTTTGATTTTTAAATTTTTTAAATCCTTTAAAAATATTTTAAATTTAAGGTTTCTCATACTACTATAACTAAATTGATACAATTTTTGAAACTTAATAATGCAAAAAACAAAAATCTTTGTCGCAATAGAAAATGGCAAGAAAAAAAATTGAAATTTTATGAAATGAAATTGAAAGTTGAAATTACAAAATGACCAGAGGCATTTTATAGAAATGTCAGCGAAAAATATAACAATACCATAGATTTTTTTTAATAAAGATGACATTGAAAGGAATTTAGTATGAAAAATGATTCATATCAGTCCCACTTTCAAGCAAACTGACTATAAAAAATGGTTTGCCTTCATTTAATATTTGAATTACTGAGTAAGAACACAAACGGAAGTTGTTATTTTATAATAGAACCGAAATATTTTAATATTTTATAGTAAGAGATTTGTTAATAATTAATTATTGTACTAATAGAAAAGAAGAGTATTTAAAGAAGTGAAAGTGAAATAAATTTTATACAATTTAATGCGATTTTTTGGTGAATTTTTAATTACAATAAATTGTAAGTTTAAGATAACGTCTTGCAACAATTTGTAATTTTATGATTGGTGTTTCACTTTCAATATTTTAATGAAACAGCGAACTATTATTAATTTGTAAATTTTTCACCACATGGTGAATTAAATTACTACACATAATCACAATATTAATATTATAGCATAGATATATGGCAAATCTTTGCGCGAAATTGATAAATTTAAAATACAATTCAAATTTAAAATAATTAAATTTTTGTTATGACTAGAATAGTTAAAGCAGTGGCACAATTTTATAATATTTACAGGAATAATTCGTTGTAAAGAGTTCTTGCAAAAACATACATAACAGCCAGTTATTTTGGTATTTTTCAATACTTTAACATGAAGTTGTTATTGATTGTTGTCTCAAATTAAACTGAGCTAAGTAAATAATTTTCAGAGCTCGTGAGGCTGTGAATTTTCTTTACAAAATATTTAGAAAAAAATTTGCTCTTATTATTAAACACAGAATTTACGAGTGTGCCTGAATATATGCAATTTTCCAGTATTTAATATCCAAGTGCGTGAGTTAAATTTTGGGATTTTGAGGTCGATTTTGACAATTTGTTAAGTTTCTTTACATTTAGAAAATTTAATTTCCACCTATTATAAAATTTCATCTAAATTTAAATTATTACAATAAACACTTTCGGATTTATATTGCTTCTTTAGACAGTTTCAACAATTTTAACCCTACTTATATGTTTTATGAATAATATTTCAAAAATATTAACGGGAGACTAATTTAATTACCTTCATCTTATAACATAATTTGCACCCATTATACTAAGTTACATCATATACCAAAATTAATACATCTTCTTTCTATGTATAACATTTTCTCTTCAATATAATTTACTAAAATTTATACACTTGTAGAAATTCCAAAAAAAAGTCATGGCAAATTTTAAGGAACGTAAAACATTTTAAAACAAGAAAAACATTTTATTTTATTTCATAAATTTCGAAAAAAAAAAAACAATGGTAGAGTACTGTAATAATTCCTTTTCAAAGTAGAATAATATTTTCCCATTAAACCGGAAAAACAAAAAAAAATGTTAAAAGATTTCTTTTAAATATTCACTTTTATTTCCAAATTTCGCTTATAAATTTTTCCGCTATTTTCAAAATAAAACAATAAAATCTCAAATTTTCGTATATAAGGTTTCAAAAATCATGAAAAAAAAAATTACAAATTACCTTGGTACCCAACATCATTTTATTTAATACGGTAAGAAATTATTATATTTGGATATATATGCACATACATGTGTTTACATGAATAAATATTTGTTACAATGGTTACTTACAACAACCATTCTCCCCCCTCCCCCTCAGCATATTATAAACGTGTAATAAAGTAAAAAAACAAAAGAGAAAAAATAGAACAAACGAAATTTTACCTTAAAAAAACACCAAAGGCCATAAATAATCAAATCAAATTATGAAATTTTATACCTGACTTAATGTTATACAATATAACAGTATAAAATATAAGAGAATATACGTTAACGGTAATATAATAAAATAGTAAGGATATTGAAATTCAGATTCAAATGTGAAAATTGTTAATTATTACACTCTATTAACATATAAGTAAACGTTAGCATTAGCATGAAAGTGGAACAAGAAAACAAGAGAAAATATACGAGATTTTATAAGGATTTTACATAAGGATAAAGGAAAAATTTGTTTTTTTTTTTAGTTTTGCCAAAAAAAACTCAATTATTTACAATGTTAATTTAAATTTTTTTAATTTGCAGGAATTTTAAAATTTTTAAAAATGTTGTAAGAATTTCCAGATAGTAGTTAATTTTTCATTTGCTTGTTCTATATGTCAAAAATTTCCAAAAAAAAATTACAAAAAAACGGTTGTTCTATATACTGATTCAATTATTTTGATAAGACAATTGAGATTTCGGCAACGAATTGAAATCTTGAAACCAAGAATGCCTGACAAAATGCCTCACAATCGAAAACCTGAAGTTTAGAAAGCCTAGCAAAAGTAAACTACAAAATTATTTTGGCAGGCACTTCGACCTGATGAAGAATTGCCTCGTCAGCCGCTCTTGGAATATATTTTTATTATTTTGAAAGATTCACGGTCTTTATTGATAAATCAAGAAAAATTTTGGCTCTGTAATGGGACTTCTATTTTAGATAACTCTTAAAATGGTACTTATAAATTTTTTTATTGTATGATGTAATTACAAAAACTTGTCACGGTATAGTGGGGACTCTTTTAATAATTTTCTTTGTAGCCATTGTTTACAGTAATATATCAGGTCTTTTTGACTGACTAAGCAATTGGAATGTTAATCAATTGAGTTAATGATAAAACAAACCATAACAAGATTCTTTTTGACTCCTATTCAGAAATCAAAATAACATTTAATTTTAAGAGTTTGATTCAATTATTGTACTCGCTACGATTCAGTTATTGTACTCGTTTACGAAACCTGATTTGTTCGTTTAACGTAGCCGAATCTGTAGATTGAAAAATATGTGCTTTAAGAAATGAAATTCAGTTATTGTTGTATTTGAGGAGCACAATTTTCAAACATCAAAATTCAGGTTTCAGGAAAAATTTTTACAAATTCAGGTTCTAATTTTTTATAAAAAATTATTTTAATGGAGCATTTAAATCGCTTTTTTTTAAATAAGATTGGAAACTGTCTTAAAGATTTTTTAAAATAAATTCTGAATCATCGAGTATTGGACTTGAATTTATGCATCATTTTCACAATAATTAATTTCAGTCGAAATATTCTTATAACTTTAATTTATTTTAATAAAAATATAATTTTTTTAATGTTTCTAGTTTAAAAGAAATCTCCACAAAAATTTTTTAATCAATTATTTTTAAAGTAAATGCCTAATTATTAAAAATTTTTCTCTATTACAGAATTGTGAATCATTATCGACAACATCACATAGTACAGAAAATTTAACATGGAATGTATGGTTCTTTTTCGCTGCTCAATTATTACATGGTGCCGGAGCATCACCATTATTTACACTAGGAGTAACTTATTTAGATGAAAATGTTTCAAAGAAAATGTCTTCTGTTTATTTGGGTAAATACTTGAGAATTTTTTTTTTAATATAAGCTTTCTTTTTTCTTTTTTGCTATTTATTTCCGTATTGCAGTTTATATTTTAAAGAAAAAAAAAGAGATTTTTTTGTAATAAGTAAAATATCCTTCAAAGGATCACCATCAATCATTTTCGGTTAAATAATTTTTGTTTTAAGAATAAATTTTTAAAAGTAATTATAGAAAGTGGAACAATGAAAAAAAAAATTAAACGAAAATTTTACAACAACTAAATTAGGACTAAAATTTATTGTTATTCTGTTTTTTTACTATGAATTTATGCGGCCTCCGACTTGTCATCTTTATAATTTATTAATTTTTGGCAGAAATTTGGTACATGCATATAGCATTTTTTGAGTTGAAAATTTCTTTTCTATCAAAAATGAACTGCGATAGAGGCTGTAATTGGGACTGATGTAATCAAGAGAAGGTATGGTTTTTAATATAAAACTGAAATTGGAAAACTTATTTAAATTCTGAATCTTTAATGTTTTATAAATCGCCACTAATAAAATTCATGCCAAGTTAAGAATAAATACAAGTCTAATACAGAAAATTCAAATATTGATTAAACATTATCGACTAAACCACTACTTTGGACTCAAATTTACTTTTATTATTCATTCTTTATCAATCGACAGAAATATCGCTAAGAGTTGAGATAGACGTTAACAGAGAATTGTGATAAAAGTATGGATTTTATTCTAGTGATCCATTAGAAAAATACTAGTGATCCATTAATAATATTTAGAGTTGAATTATAAAAAATTCTTTAATTTCATGATAAGTCTTTTGTTAAAATTTAAAAGTAAAGCATATTGTATGTGTTAAACCTTGTTTATTAGTCTTGTTTGATAAGAATTGGAATTTTCATCAAATTTTAATCAAATCGAACAACATCTTTCAACAACGTTTGATTTATCATATAACCATGAACAAGATGAGAATTCTTATTTCAAATAAAATAGTAGTCGGTCAAACTTGTTATAATTTATTTATTTGTTTACTTTCTTTCCACAAGGTACATCTTTATCCTTAAATGAGTTCTAAATATTTAAAATTTATTTTTTGAGTGCGATAATTTGATGCGGATAATCTGGGATCTATATATAGCATAAATATAAAAAATACCTTTATTAATGTTTACATTTTTCAACAAAAAAAATTTAGATATACACTTATATAATATAAAAAAAAAATTGGAAAATTTAAAAAGAAATGAATATATAAAATAAGAAATGGGAAATTAATGCATTTAATTTGCCTAAGAATAAGAAAACTTGAATCTTTTCATCTCTTCCTTGTGTTGTGTTTTCTCTCTTCTATTCTCTTCTATTGTTTACGTTTACTTTACTTAAGTCTTAAAAATTCTGATGGTGGATAGAAAGAAGGTGAAATTCTCCCCCTCATTATACCACAGTAGAATGTTCAATTACAATTTTAACAGTATATAGAGAATATTATGACACTTTAAATCTATTTCAATATTCTCACTAATTTGCCTGTTTTTGTTTGTTTACACTTTGCTCTTTTATCACCCTATTTGTATATTGGGGTTTAATTTGAATTTTTTTTTCCTTCAAACATATTCTCTGTGTATCTATTTTACAGTTAATGTTTTATTTTTTTTCAAAATTTAAACTTTTTGTTCTCTATTTTTTTATTTTTAATTTATTGAAATTACGGGGTGGGTGGAAAAAGAAGAACAATATTGAACCACTTTTATAATATTATATTTTTCAATTTTATTTACTTTTTATTTTTTATTTTTTCAATATTTTTAATGTTTTAAAGCAGTTATTTTATTTTTCTGAAAAAAAATAATAAAACGTAATAAGTACTATGAATTGAATAGGATAGAGTGAACGTATGACACTCTAAATTACTCCCAATTTAATTGCATACTAAATAATCTAAACTTCAAGCCTAACTAAGCGTAAAAGTATATAGAGAGAAATATTTGTTTGACACACATTTATTCTGACACAAAGCCATTATATATTTGGCCTTATTTTATTATAATGAAAATAAAATCTCAAACCGCTAAATTTTTAGGTTAGTTTTTACATAATCTTACTATTTATTAACTAAATTATTTGAACTACTTTCCAAAAGTGCTATCAAAAGTTTTTATAAAGTGACACATTACTTTTTCTAAGTTTAAATTTATTGAACTTGTTAAGTTCATTTCATTTAATCAAATGCAAAATAATTAACCATTGTTATATAGGCAGTCCATTTTAAAATTTTAAGTTAACCATTTAATATTATTTTAAGAACAAAACTCACATTAAATAACATCAATTCTGAAAGGAGAATTTTTAGTTTAAAGCAACATGCCTAATAAGTTACTGAAACAAATAATTTTATCCGATTTGGTAATGGTCGTACAACTTGGAATGTCTTATAATCATTAATATAGGGTCGTTATGAACAAGGTTTTAATACCCAGGCACAAAATAAATCGAACATTGAAGATTTAAAATTTGATGGAGGAACTTGTTAAAGCAGCAATGCGATTAATAACACTTTCATTTTCGACAATTCAGCATTTTCATTCCACCCATTCAAAATTTCTATACTACACATAATAGTAGTAAAAGTGTAGTCACTTACATTTATGCATGTGTTATTTTTTTTTGTTATAACTTTTCTCATTCCAAAGCAAAAAAAACAATTTACTCAATTTATTCGCGCGCGTCTTTTATTTCAATTTCGAATTTAAACTAAATATTACACAATGGTTAGAAAACATTAAACAAGCATTGAATGAATTTAACTAAATTACTTTTTATACATAAATATATATGTATATATTTTTTCATTTCATTTCATTTCATTTGATTGTTTGTTTGTATTATGTCGCGATTCTCGATACATTTTAGTACTCGATACTCGTAAATCATTCGACGGCAACAGTTTATTATTTACTGTTCATTTCTGTTTTTTTTTTGCCATTTTGTTATAAACAAAAAAATTATTCACCCGCCGCACTTTAAAACTTGAACTTTATATATGTATGTATATTGGTAACTGGTACAGAGGTTGGGTGGGTTGATATAATAATATATAAGATGTTTTCTATTTAGGATAAATTGACTTGAACATTAATTTTTTATTGAAATAAATATGAAAATAAAACGAATATTCAAGCATTTATACATTATGTATAATGCATATACATATCTATGTATGTAACGTATATTATATTTACACATATTATATATGAAGGATGTGTAGTTTATATTCATTAAATTATTTTTTGTAATGGTATATGGTGTGTTTATCAAAGATTGATCCTTTTTATAAAAAGCTACATAGCGGAATTACTCGTATATATAAAAATAAGAACACGGTTATTAAATGGCACATGTATCTTTAATTTGATCAAGGATTTATAATTTTCATGATTTGGAATATGTAATATAATATATTGTAGTTGGCGCCTTATTGTCTCTCATTCCTTTCAGACCACTCACTTATATTGTACATATATGACTGACACTGTCTCTATATTAGTAAATCCTCCCTTCAAATGAAAAGTTTTTCTTATAGCACACAAATTTTTAAAGTAGGTATACAATTTACAAATATACGGTTCAGTTTTCATATTGTCTTCTTACATTATTTGGATTGGATTGTATCCTTCATATTTTTTTTAAGATATCTTTTAAGGATTTATATCTTTTCTAGAGTACAACAAAAAAAAATAAAACAAGTTTGCAAAAAAAAAATTTTTTTTTTTTTGGTTTTTTATCCTCAAGAACTTTTTAGTTTTCATATTTTATAGTTTCTCTTTATCTCTTAAATATTTTAGTGTAACTTAATAACTTTAGGGCTCAATTTAACATGATATTGTCTTATTGGTTTTGAAAATAACGAACAAAGAAAAAAATCCTTATTTGATAAAGTCAAAATAATTGAAAAATATTTAATTTTTTTCAATTTCCACTCTCTGTATTGATTTATGCATTTATTGATTTTCATTGAATATATGGGAATAGTTTTAGGTTTTTTAATAGTTGATTGTTTTTCCAGTGTACAATACGGATTTCAACTGCGTTTAATTTGTTCAAGAAGAATTCAAGATTTTTATTCTAATAATCTGAAATTTAATATTTTTCTATTCATTTTTAAATTAATCAATTCAATCCAATATATAGATTAACATGGTGAAATGTACAAGTATTTAGCAACATGAATTATCAGAATTTCACTCTTAAACTAAAAATTAAATCTCAACTCAAAATAATTACTGGAATTGCTAAAAATAACCCTTGAGAAAGTGCGTCGTTTTTAACATTTTCGTAAAAGAATTTCGAATTTTCGCCTTTCAAAGAAAATTATTAATAAAAGTTTCAAATTTTGTTCTAGTTTTATGCGGGAACTTTTCAACTTTCAAGAAAAATGCTAAATTTTTTACATGTTAATCAAAAACCTTTTAAAATAAAACAACCCTACTGACAAGCGAATTTTCATAACATTTTAAACATACCTAAAATCCGTATACAAAAGTCAATCATAGGTATGCTCACTAACCCAAAAAAAAAAAAAGCCGAATCGCAAAAATATCTGAGCTACCCCAATAATTTTTTGCTTATTTTTGTTTTATTCGGCAGGAACCGCCTGTTATGCATATAATTTCAGTTTTCTCGTATCGCACCTTAATACTCAATTGGTCAAAAAAAAAATTAACAAAATCAACTGCATAGCTATTTTATTCCAAAAACAAAATTATTGCGTGCTGTTTGTTTTTATCAATTAGTGTGTATATCTAATTTTAAGAATTTTCCAACATTAACCCTATTTGGTATACCCATACATGTATGTAATGATCGACTATAAAAACTGTAAAGCAAAATATCCTCATTAACATTTTTAAGTATTAATCAATTATTATGTTCTAGAGGGTAAAGTACTTGACGAACTTTATTCCTCTAAATATTTCCGAAAACATTTACGAAATTTTTACTAAATTGTTTC